ACCACCGGTCCTGTCGCCGTTGCAACCGGTCCTCCACCATCCCAACCTCCTTTCGACCTCTGCGATTCCCGACGAACCTCTCCGCCATGCAAACCGTGCTCGACCACGATCTTCCATCTCGAAAAAGCTCCTTCCATCCGTGACATACTCTTTCCGTTTGGTCATCTCTGCAATATAATCTTCTCCGTCCGGTAGCTTCATCTTCATCCTCTCCGATGTGTTCTTCAATTTCGGTAATTCTTGAATTCTTAATTTATTTAATTGATTAATTGGTTAAGTGATTTTAGATAAGTGTTTAATTGATGAAATCTTGAATTGGATTGAGTTTTTGACATGAATTAATTTGTGAATTAATTTTGTTCATGAGAGTTAATGATGAATAGGTGTGGAGTTGGTTGAGTTTATGGATAGTTGTTTGGATCCAATGAGTTGACGCGTCGAAATTGCATAATTGTTCATGCTTACTTGAATTCGCGCGTCGAAATTTGTTTCGATTTGATTATTATGGAATTTTGATGAGAATTGATGTGAATTTCATGTGTTAATGCAATTTCGGATCAATTTGATGGTGAATTAATTTTTTTGATGTTAAAATGCTTCAATTTAATTAATTGCGTCAATACTTGAAATAATTGATTTAAGGATTGGAATCATGGAATGCATGCGAATTTAATTTTTGCAAGCATTTGTAATTTCTAAGCGACATAACTTGAATCGGTAAAGGCTTTTGTGCCTTCGTTTGTGATTTTTAAATCCGATTTTTACCAATAGCAATTCATGTATATATTTCTTCCTGGGAAATACAAACGCGTTACAAACAGCTTTTCAAAAGTTGTTTGAGGCTTACTCGAGCATGTTTATGAGTTTATGAACCGTTGGTGTTGAATTATAGTGTTTTCGACACGATTTTTCAGATGATTTTGTGATACGATGCAATGATGCACAATTTCGGTAAGTTGAACTTAAGGCGCTATTTGATTGATGGTTAATGATCAAGTGACCTTGTTTTCATACTTGGACGATATTTATGTCAAGTTTTGTCGATTTCAGATCGATGTTTCGTGCGGTTCATGTATTAACGGCAATGCTGCCCAGTTTGGTAACTTGGTACAAGCACGTGTTTTAATTGTTGTTTGATGCATGATTATGCTTGCCATATCATTTGTGTAGCATTGGTGTTAAGTTGTGACGATTTCAGATCGACATTTTGTGTGTTTCATGAGATAACAACAATGCTGCCCAGAGTTTACATTTGTGGTTCCAATGCACATTTAAATTCTATTTCTTCATAATTTAATGCCAAATTGAATTGTGATGAGAATGCATAACTCTGATTTTATTTCCTTGTTATTTATAAATGTTTGTTGACTTGTGCAAGGGATTTCAAGAGTGCTTTCAATCGATTACCTAATTCTTGGTTATTTGATTAACGCATGTTATTCCACTCTATTTATGGATCGATTATGCTTCCGACGTGTTTGATTTTGATTCTCGTTCTATGAGATATATACACTGCTTGTGTTTTTGTTTGGATGTGAATTTTTGTGCAGGTGTTATGTTTGTTGCGGATGTGTCTGACACATATTCTCCTTGTGCTTTATTAATGCTTCGACACATATTCTGACTATTGTGTTGTTGATGCTAGCTTGCATGAAGTTTTCGGATTTCTCTGCTTTTGCTTGCTTGCCACGAAATCTTGTTTGTTTGGTATTATACCGATTCTGGTTTATTTTTCTGCATCACTTACCGCTTTCCTTGCCGTAAGAAGTAGGAATAGAGATGCATGATTGGGAGTCCATACTTTAGGTGGGTAATCTGTTTAAAGTCCTCAAAGGAGGTGATGTTTTTTTTGCTCAAAGTCCTCGATGAGGAAATGTTTTTGTTTGCTTGTGTGCAAAAGACCTCAAAAGGGGCAATTTCTTGTTGTTTATTTAAAGATCTCCAAAGAGGCAATTTTGCTAAGGTCCTCAAAGAAGGCATTTCCCTTCCCCTTTTACATTTTTCTTTCTATCGAGTCAATAAGTGGAACAGAGGGCCTGCAATCGACCCCACACATTCTAGTCTGTGTCGTTCTTAGCTCGCGCCATGCGTTAATGCTTTGAATCGCGCCTATTCTTGTCTATTGAGTCAAATAAAGTGGAAAAAGGGTCGTATCCTACCCCCACATTTTATCATTCGTTTCGACAATGTTAGCTCACGTTTCTTGAAATGTTGACGCTCCGAGTTGTTACTCGATGTAGATGCTCGAGCAAATAAAGGTGAAAGAGTTCCTTACTCCCACTTTGAGATCTATTGGACTCTTTGTTTGTTGCTAGCTTGCACTCGATTTTGTTTTGGCTTTGGCTTGACTTTGTTTAATTACACTTGTGCTTGTGATTTTCCTTAGGTTGTAACCATTGCATGTTCCCCTTAGGATTTGCTTATTTCGTTTTTGATGCAAGTTAGACATTAGGATCATAATCCATGCATGCTAACTTAGGTAGAGATTCCCTTTGTTAATCCAAACCTTAGGACCATCATTGTATGATAACATTAGGGATAGAACTAGATAGTTTCCCTTAGATGTTTTCTTTTCCTTTTTCATGCTTAAGACAAAAACCTTTTTTTCTTTGAAAATTCTAAAACACTTAATAACGAAATATGCGAATCGTATGCAGTTGAGTTTTGAGGGGTAGAGCGAATCAGTTTAGATTGAATCTTGCTCTATTTTTGCTCCAGACTTTATAAAGGTTCAAATCACAAATCCTTTTTCAAGGTAAAGAACATCAACCAATGCAAACTCTTTTTGCCTTCGGGCCTTTCTTCGAAACCCTCAAAAGGATATGCAATACGACGTGTAAATACCTAAAGGTCGGGTAACACCATGTCTAAATTGCTAGAGCACGAATGTAGCATTATCCTCCTTTGGGAACTTTTCTTTTGAAAATACGTTTTCAGGTAAGAACGTGTTAATTCATTGCTATACCAACGCGTGAGTCTCCAAAGGTCGAGCTACAATAGGAAGCGAAATTAATATTATTCATAAAAAATACAAAACAAACAAAAAACTTTTGAGCCGAACTACGATGCTCTGATTCCTTGAAAGGGATAGGTAGGCAATTGGTCGCGGGGCTCAGGCGAGCAAAACTTTGTAAATATTACTTCTTTTCCCCGTGTTTTCTTTTGCATGCATTCCCTCTTTGCATTTCTACCTTAGCTCGTAAGCTTTAGATTTGAACACACCCTTTGATTAGAACAACAAGAGTGGATCTTATGGAGTACCAAAGACGTGAGGGGTGATAATACCTTCCCCTCGCGTAATCGACTCCCTTACTTGTATCTCTCAGTCGTTTGATCGTGATTTCTCCCTTCTCAGGTTTACTCGATGTTTGCCTTTCCCTTCATGTAGGATAAAAAACGTTTGATGGCAACTTCATTGATTTTCTCTTGATAATATTCGGCCGGTTGTTTCAGATACCCCAAGCTTCAATCAACCCCTATGAAATTAAAAAACCATCTAAGTGACTCATTGAATCCCTAACAAAATTGAAACAGGTGAATTTGTTCCCAAATGCCGGTAGATCCACCAAATCCATGTCGCCAATGAATTCAGCGAACTCATGCATTTCTGAGTGATTGAATTGAGCTCAAGAGCCTTTACTTTCAGAGGTTCTCTTAATGGCATTGAAGTCTGCTCTAACACATCAATCTCCCAAAGTAAGAGAAAGCTTAAAATTGATGAGTTCAGCCCACAATCTCTTTTATTTTAAATAACACATGAAGAATAAACATTGACAAAATAAACTAAGCTGAATTCCAACCAATCCCTCCCCCCCCAAAACTAAGCTGAGCCTCAAACAGAAAATGATTCCACAACAAAAACGTACCTCTTGATCTTCCAGCAACATTCTTAGCACTCCACATAATTTCAATGTTTCCCCATAACTCTTGAGACAACAATTATCCATTTTTTACATCTTAGTCTCTTGCAACATACATAAACCTACATTCCCATAGATAATAAGGTGCTGAATTACTCGCTTCTTAGGTAACTTACGCCCCTTCTGATATTAAAGGATAACAAATTCATGTTGGTACAAATTTGATTTCGTCCTTCTGAATTTGTGCTTCAACATCCCTCGATTCCAAGCATCTAATCTCCGCTATGATGGCTGCCTCATCACTACCTTCTCTAATACCCAACTCAGGAGCTATTTTCCATAATTTTGATGCACCACCATTTTCATCATAGGACTAGAAACACGAGTTACCATGATGAATATCTCCATCAAATGTCGACTCATAGCATAAAGCGAAACCCCTCTAGAGAATTTCGCCATTGAATTTATGGAAGATTCAAAAATAGCCTTTGATTTAGATAGCGATGTGAAGGACGATTTAAAAAGAGGTTCATATCATAAATTCCAAGATAAAAGCAATTTTGTGTAGCTTTCAAAACCTTCTTATAATAGCTTATTTAAGAAAGCAACTTACATTAGCCTTCAACCTCGACCCATTTACCATGGATAATGAAAATGGGCCTTGATAATGGAGACCAGAAACATGCTCCAAGCCCAATGGAGTTGGGATAACATGGTTTAATGGAATAACAAAATCAATGGCGTTGACTTGTGGAGCAGAAGCAGGCGCAAGAAAATTCTACTTTATTAAAGACCCAACATCAAAAAAATTACTTTTCCTAGCTTGATGTCACGCCACTTTTATACATTTGTCTGACCTAGGTGAAGTTTCACCTTTATAGTTAACAACCAAAGCCTGCTGTGCTTCAATATCTCTTATACTCAGTATTATAAGGCATGATTTTCCTCCTCAAGAATGGATATAGAGAAGAAGAAGGAATGCAAGATATTTCATATACTCAATCTGGAAATTACACCGATTATAAAGGGAAATTATCTAGCGGATCTAAACAAAATCCAACTAAGAATATGACAGCAAGGAAAATAAAATAAACTATTGGTGACTCACATGTTCTAGAAATAACAACATGAAATAGTAATCTATTTGTAAACTATGTGATCATCGAACCTAATCGGCATTCTACTGTTACGTGTGAGCCTTTCCTTAGCAGGCCCAATATCAATAGCATCAATAGGCCCGTCGTCAGAATTTGGAATTGTAACAATACCAACCCCATCAAAATTAACCTTGTCCTCAAGGTGATAATTCTGTTTAAGAATTTCCCAGTCTTCCCATGTCGTGTCTTCAGGCAGCAGACTATTCCAGTGTACCAACACTTGCTTGTAAGAAAGCCCATCTTGAGTGGTGGTACGAGCAGAGAGAATTGCAAGGGGTGAAACTATAGGATTGTTATCAACCGAGTGATAATTGGTAAGTTTTTTTGAATTTGAGTGTGAATAATTAACACTCATCAACTTAATTCGTTTGTTTTTTGTCAATAAACCTCAACTTTAGTGTATATTCGGTATAGTTTATGTTATAGTGTATTTATTGCGTTATTGTGTAAATATCATTGATGTAGGTATCCAAGCATTGATATTTAGGCATTGTTAGATAGAGTATTGAATAAGTTTTCCAACACTTTGAATCGGGCGCGAATCGGAGTTACGGTTCAAAAGTTATGGCCGAAGTAGTGCAGAATGTTGTGATGGTTTTTTCAACTTTCTGCCATCCGTCGCCGGACGATGCTTTTTGGTCGCCGGGAGATGCTAGGCGAGCTGCAGCATGGGAAAAACGCTGTTTTGGTCGCTGGGCGATGCTGGACAGTCAGAAATTCGTATTTAGGTGTAAAAACACATTTTTTTGGGTATGGTTTTGGGTATTTTTGATCCCAACTCCATCAACCTTCATTTTTGGTTATGATTAGCTTAGAAAACAACATTGAAGCCATCATACGGATGATCTGGGATGGATTACTCATCAATCAGCGCTGACAAACCGGTAGATTAGTGGTTCATTTCTCTTCCTCTTTGTGTATTCTTTATGTGTTGAATTTGTACATGTATTTACTCTGGACTTATGTATATTTTTCGCCCATGGCATTATATTGAACTTACTTTACAAATCTTTGTCGATTGTTGTCTTAGATTTTTGCTCTGTGGTAGGGATTTGAGGTTTTATAGACATATACTGCTTAAATTCTTATCTAGGATGATTATCTGTTAGTTTCTAAACTCTAGAGATAGATTCTGAGCTGACATCTACTTGGGTATCAGAGCTTAATGCCTCTGTGTGGTTGTGTTGTACTCAGAGATCGTCAGTGTGATTACATAGTTGTCTTCTATGTTGTTGAGGAGGTAGAGAGATCATTTCCTTGGTGATACACTCGATCTCTCAATTTGGGTTAGAAATGACTTAGATTGTGAGTGATACGTGGTGACATTGATGAGTATTGTTAGGTTGAATTTAAGTGGTCGATATATTTAGGTCTGTGATAAGTAGATTATATGCAGGCTTGATAAGTTCCTCCTTAGTTTTTTTTGTTTACATTTATTTTCTATTGATACTTTTCTTTACAAACCAATTCAAACCAAACTCATTAACGAGAGATTTGTCAAACGATAATTCAATAACCAATCTCCATGGACACGATAAATTTTCGAATAAATATTTTCAAAACTTTTGTTGCTTGCCGCTACACCGCTTCTAACAAAATGGCGCCGTTGCCAGGGATTGATTCTATTATTTTCGCATTGCGATAATTCTTTTGTTTTTGAGTTTTGTAATTAATGTATATGTTGTATATAAATTGTACATTAACTTGTATATGATACTTGTGGATATATGTGTTTTTCCTTGTTTTCACGTATTGTTGGGAATTGTCTCATTTTCGTAACGTTTGTTGTGTGATTGTTAGGACACTTTATTTAGGTTTGCACGGTGTGACAATACCATGGTACGATGAGTGAAGGTTACAAGCTTACACAATAAAGACGTCGAGCTTATGACGTAAAACAAGCATGTTTGTTTATATTTGTTTATGTGTGTGGTGATTTGTGTTTTAACAAGTTGAAACAAGGAAATATTCTGAATTTCAAATCTTCATTTTTCAACTTGTTAATTCATTTTCACCCGGTTTTCATATCGTTATTTGTATTTATTTTGTTATATCAATTTGTGTTTTCCGAAAGCTTGTCGTGTTTAGCTTTAGGAGTTTTGTTCGTTGTATATATTATAAATTTTGTACATTGAAATTTTGTAGGAGTATTATTTTTCTAATTCTTTTGTTGTTGTTTGCACTCAAGTTTTGGTCCGGTAACTTGTAGAATATTGAGGTGATTTGTCAAGTTTGATCGTTTTGACTTGCGATTGCATGGTAATGATTTTGTTAAAGTTTTGTACATGTTAGTGGTATGTGTTTATCGCTTTCTATACTTTAGCATATTCATGATACTTAGACTTTTTACAATTTTTATGCCATTCATTATTTTGTATACTTGTTCATTTATGAATCACTTTAGTTCCTACCCTTTTTGTGAGGTAGCTTTCCGTTGTTCACATATGCTGGAGACCATAATTCTTGTTTTAACTGGATTTTATTATGCTTAATCTTTTGTTTGTGTTGATTGTATGAAAGCTTGAACATGATCAATGAATTTTTTTTGTTTCATTTTGAGCATAACTACCTTGGCCAAATAAGTGAATTCACCTTATGAGTGCGTGATCATTAGTAACCCCTTTGAGATTTTTGTCGATATCCATGTTGTATTTGCTAAATGCTTGTCTATGAGTGTTTATTTTCCCTTTTTGCATGGATGTTGATTCGTTGTTTTCTTGAACCCTCAACCATTGTTTTGGTTTGAATTTTTACCTTGTCTTAGAAAGTAGGGAGTATTCACTTTAATGTATGGTTGAATTCAAGTTGGGGAGAAAAATAATTGTATATTTATTGGTTGATTGCTATGAGGTTGAAAAGAAAAAGAAAAAAAAAGTGATAGAAAAAGAAAGGAAAAAAATAGAAAAACTTTGAAAAAGAAAAACAAAAAGAGTATGGAATAATATTGTGTTGAATAAGTGATGTGTGTTGGTTTGAAATTTGGGATGAAGAAGTTTGATTGAAATTCTATTGTTTGAAACTTTGTGGAAGTAATTACTCCCTTAGGTTTAGGCAAGTTTTTGTTTTGATTAGCTTTAGGACTTATCACTTGTTTGTTAATCAAACCACATTACAACCTTGAAAAGCCCTTGAGATTCTTGCTTTTATATTTTCAATATAAATTTTTGGATGAATGAATAATTTAGTCTATTATTTGCAAGATTGTTGGATGAGTGAAAATACCCAATTTTTGTGTGTTTTTCATCTACCGGTGATTGTGTTTGCTAGGTGTGATTCATTTGTGAAATAGTAATTTTTTTAGAATGCTTAACATAATTTTTGTATTTAGCATTTGTTTCGTGTTTATGTTATAGTCGTAATTTAGTGGTAAGTGTTTACTTTGCGTGTACTGTTTTTCATTTGAACCATTACATTTGTTTTCTGTTTTCAAAATCTGTTGATTCGTGATTCTTTGATTATCATCTTTTGCTTCTTTAAGTTTATTTGACTTTGTTTGAGGACAAACAATGTTTTAAGTTGGGGAGAGTTTGATGAGTGATAAATTATTGTGAATTTGAGTGTGAATAATTAGCACTCATCAGCTTAATTTATTTGCTTTTTGTCAATAAACCTCAACTTTAGTGTATATTCGGTATAGTTTACGTTATAGTGTATTTATTGCGTTATTGTATAGATATCATTGAGTTTAATTGATTTTATCTCATTTTTGTAGGCATACAAGCATTGATATTTAGGCATTGTTAGATAGAGCATTGAATAATTTTTCCAACTCTTCGAACCAGGCACAAATCAGAGTTACGGTTCAAAAGTTATGACCGAAATAGTGCAGAATGCTATGCTGGTTTTTTCAACTTTCTGTCATCCGTCGTTGGACGATGCTAGGCGAGCTGTAGCGTGGGAAAAACGCTGTTTTGGTCACCAGGCGATGCTGGACAGTCAGAAATGCGTATTTAGGTGTAAAAATACATTTTTTGGGCATGGTTTTGAGTATTTTTGATCCCAACTCCATCAACCTTCATTTTTTGATAGGATTAGCTTAGAAAACAACATTGAAGCTTGCATACAAATGATCCGGGGTGGATTGCTCATCAATCGACACTAACAAACCGATAGATTTGTGGTTCATTACTCTTCCTCTTTGTGTATTCTTTATGTGTTGAATTTGTACATGTATTCACTCTGAACTTATGTATACTTGTCACCCATGGTGTTATATTAAACTTGCTTTACAAATCTTTGTCAATTGTTGTCCTGGATTTTTGCTTTGTGCTATGGATTTAAGTTGTTATAAACATATACTGCTTAGATTCTTATCTAGGATGATTATCTGTTAATTTCTGATCTCTAGAGATAGATTTAGAGCTGACATCTACTTGGGTATCAAAGCTTAACGCCTCTGTGTGGTTGTGTTGTACTGAGAGATCGTCAGTGAGATTACATAGTTATCTTCTATATTGTTGAGGAGGTAGAGAGATCATTTCCTTGGGGATACAGTCAGTCTCTCAATTTGGGTTAGAAATGACTTAGATTGTGAGTGATACATGGTGACATTGATGTGTATTGTTAGGTTGAATGTAACTGTTCGATAGATTTAAGTCTGTGATGAGTAGATTATATGCAGGCTTGATAAGTTCCTCCTTAGTTTTTTTCTTTTGTTTACATTTATTTTCTGTTGATACTTTTATTTAGAAACCAATTCAAACCAAACTCATTAACGAGATATTTATCGAACGAAAATTCAATAACCAATCTTTGTGGACACGACAAAAGTCCGAATAAATATTTCCAAAACTTTTGTTGCTTGCTGCTACACCACTTCCAACACCGAGTCAGGAGGCAATTGGGCGACATTAGGGGGAATAGGACCACTGTAGTGCTTAAGGAAAGAACAATGAAACACATTGTGAATTTTGGTATGTGAAAGGAGTTCTAACTTGTAGGCGATAGGTCCTACATGAGACGAGATACGATAAGGTCCATAGAAGCGTTTGTTAAGTTTGATGTACTTAACAAAAGAAAATGATCCTTGTCTATTAGGATGCAACTTGACATGGACCTAATCATCCACCTCAAAGTGTACTTCTCTACGTTTTCCATCAGTAATTGCTTTCATTTTAAGTTGTGCCTTTGTCAGATTCTTTTCCAGGAGCTCTAGAATCTCTACTCGAGACAGTAGCAAGTCATCGCTTGCATCCACAGTAGAGGATCCCGTAACATAATCAAGAAGGGTGGGAGATGGTTTACCATACACTATCTGGTATGGAGTGATGCATGCAGCAGTATGGTAGGAGGTGTTGTAGTGATATTCAGCCCATGGCAAATACTTGTACCAAATTGAAGGTTTGTGGTGAACGA